GTACTTACGCACAATCTACTTGCAATTTTGAGTTTTAAGTAATATGCATTAATAAACATTACTTTACGTATAAAAAAATTTTAAGAATTTTTGTCAAATAATTTATAATATAGTATGGATATGTTTAATCACATATTAAATACTTAAATATCCAAAATAGAAGTCTTGTAGTTAATATACCTGAAGAGAAAAAAATTATGTCGCATTTTTATTAGCTTATAAACCTCAATATATTACCATTATAACAAAATCTTTGTCAGGCTTTTTATAGTTTTAGACAAAATGTGCAAAATAGCAATCTATTTTTATAAAAAAAATATTATAATATTATATTTTTAGTTTTTCTAATTATAGCAATGTACTTTCAAAATATTTTTTATTAGGGTATCATACTTTTAAAAATTTACCCGTTATATCATTGGGTAACTTTTTAAATTTTATTTACCCATTATATCATATTTATTGTCACCTCATCGTCCATGTAGGTTGTCCACATGTACGATATTGTTGACATGACATTTCTTATTATAGCATTATACTTTCAAAATCATCTTATTATAACATCACCAATTTTTATTACAGCATTGTACTTTTAATTTTAATATTTTCATCATTTAAACATTGTAAATTTAATCAAATATGTTTACTAAAAATTATAATATCGGATATTAAACATGTTTACAAAAGATCATTAATAAAAAATATTTTGAAGTTTCATTGTTATAACAAGAAAAACTGAAAGTATAATGTTATAATAATGAAATTTTTAAAATTATGTTCACGTATTTTGCTCCATAATTTTTTCAAAATATTTAAAATCCAATAATTTTAGCTTTATATCATCTATTTTTTTTATTTATAAAAACTAATATACTAAAATTTGTACAAAAAACATAATAAGTTTAATTATGTATTTATTTTACATAAATTATTCATTTAAATATATTAATATCTATTCACAGTAAGATTTTACCAAAGATTATTTTTTTTTTAATTCTTAAAATTGTATAAAAATTGGGCTATCAAAAAATACTTAGAAATGATATAAAAAGTATGTACAAAAGAAACTTAAAAGAGTAAATTTATAAAAATTGGGTTTCCAAAAAATCCACAAAATTGTGTATAAAAATATACAATCTTTTAATTAATTTAGATATACAAAAGACATATAATTACTTTAACTTCGCATTTATTTTATTTATTAAGTATAACTACTTCATTATATTTAAATATATTAAATTTAATCATGATAATAAAAAGAACTGATTAAATACGGAACTTATATTGAATTCCATATAATTAAAATTGATCAAACACGATCTCTGGAAAGCATATCTGTTTGTTTCGAGCTCTAATAAAAAACATCTCACTACGTTAAAAACTCTCAACCAGAGGTTTTTTATTGTTTTCATTTTTTAAAAACCTCACACATCTCCACTATAACAAAAACTTTTTTCCCATTTTTTCTTAGTTTATTCAAACTTTAAGGGTCCTGTCATTTTATATTTGTGTCATTTATATTTTTATTTTTAGAAATCAATGTATTAAAATTTATACAAATACATATTTATATCGAGAAATAATTTTTACTTTAATTATTTATTGATTTTAGATAAATTATTTATTTGAAATATGTTAATGCAAGATATATTATATCTAAATTCCTTATAATAATATAAAAAAAATGTGAATCTATAAAAATTGGGTTTTTAAAAAATCCGGAAATACTACATAAAAATATGTTCAAATTTAACTTTTATATTAATTAAAATGCATCAAAAGATATAAGTATTTTAAGAGTAAATAACAAATTGTGTTCATATGAAAAATATGGATTGGGTTCTTATATCTTGTTCATTACTTCCATTTTATGTCATTATATAGCTTTTTTGGCCTACTTTTGTCTAAAAAATTGAACATTATTGTTTACCATATGTATTGTATTAAGTGCTAACATAAAATGTTATTTATCAAAAAATTTAAATATAATTTCAAATTCATTTTTGCTTACGAAAATATATTGATACTCAATATATTAACATATTACAGATTTTCATAATTTAGAATAAAAAGTCAAATTTTCTAAAAGCAAAACTACCACCAAAACAAAAAAGACCAAAATAAAGACCAATACAGGAAATAACAACAAACCATCAACAACGAATAAAAAGTCATTACAAGTCTTTAACATAATTGTTTGCGTACAAATACTTTGCTTACAGTAATTAATTTCAAGCATTCAACATTAATTGATTTGCAATCTGATCACGCAAATCAGTCATACATTCATTGCCTTGGGGACTCCATTGTGTTTCTTCAACATCTTCCTTGATACTTTCTTTCTCAATTCCTTTGTCTTGTTCTTCGATGGTAAACATGTTATTTTCATCATACTTCATAAACAGTCGATCTTGAATATTGCATCTTCTTATAAAATTGTGAATTGCGAAACAAACAATCACTACATCTTTTTGTATTAGGAAAGGGTAAGGAGCCATTTGTCTTAAAATTGGAAATCTTGCTTTCAAGACCCCGTATGCACGCTTGATGACATTTATAAGTTGTGCATGAGCATGATTGAACCGTTCTTCCTTAGTCAAGGCACGTCGGCGTCGAAAATATGCTAACCAATACCTTGTATTGCGATAGGGGGTCATAAATCCACGAGTATTGGTATATGCGGCATCACAAAGATAGTATTTACCTGCAACCACAAAATACAATTTAAAAGTATAAAACATAACGAGGTTTAAATGTTAAGAAAAAAAATTGAAATATACTTGGTGGAGGAAACGGAAATCCTGAAGTTGGGTTAAATGCAACTTCTGTTAGAACTCGAGAATCATGTGCAATGTCTTCCCATTTAGCCCAAAGAAATGTGAATATCATATTAAAATCACAAACCACTAAAACATTTTGATAGCATTCACCTCTTCCTCTTCCTTTTCCTCTTCCTCTATACCTAGCTTGTTAACTAACGGGCACAACTGCATGTACCAAAGTTCCATCTAACGCACTTATAGCCCCTTTTTTTATGAAATAGAAAACATTAGAAAGTATTTATATATGTTAAGAATATTCAGTATATCAAGACAAAACATACCGGAAATGTTTCTTTGAGTCGTGTAAATCGCTCTGACATATTTGGGGTTCCATCAAAGGATGTTGGCCCTACGATTTCTCTCGCAAATTCCATCATTCCTTTTAGTACTTCATGAAATTTTTTATTAATGGTTCGCGTAGAGTGTTGAAATCTTCGTTTAACCATTCTAAAGTGTTCATTGTGACCAATTATTGTAAAAAATATGGTCATTTTCTCTTCGATGCTCATATACCAACTTGAGTGCACCCAATTTTTTTCTTTAAAGTAATTGCATAATAATATGTATGAATCACGTGACAAACACATCAATTCATGACATTGCGTATTTGATCCACTTAACAATTCTTGTGTATACGCATGTCCGCTCAATGCTGAAGTGTTGTTCTTACCCTTTCTATTCTTGACGAAGATTTTTTTTTTCAAATACAAATAAACAACCATCACAATCAGAATTAACTTGTTCCTGTCCATAACCTTGAAGTACGAAACACATATAACATTAACTTTCAAGAGTCCATACAAAGACCAAAACATCTTCCACTACAAGAAAAATGACCTTTAGAGAAGGTATTGTTTTGTACTTAAAAGTCTTAAAAGCTTCTCTAAAGCCTTTAGATAAGCTTTTCAATTTTGTCAAAGAGCTTCTCTGTGTAGCGGTAGGTAAAGGTTTTAGAGAGGGTTTTCGAAGGGTGTGTTTTTGTTAGCCTTTAGAGACGCTTATTTGAGGTTTTAGATACAC